TAAAAAGGAAAAAGGGCTGGGGGCCAGCTCAAATCCCTAGCCACACACACAAAAGTTATAGCCAGGGGGCTGGGGTTGTGGCTCAGTGGTAGAGTGCTTGCCTAGCATGTGTGAGGCACTGGGTTCCATTGTCAGCACCACATAAAAATAAATTAATAAAATAAAGGTCCATCAACAACTTAAAATGCTATATATTTATATATTATAGCCAGGCGCTGTGAGGCTCCCCTGTAATTCTAGCAACTCCCAAGGCTGAGGGAGGAGGATTGCAAATTCAAAGCCAGCCTCTGCAATTTATCGAGACCCTGTCTCAAAATAAAAACAGGGCTGGGGATATAGCTCATGATGATAGAGTACTTGCTTTATGTGCATAAGGCAAACACATAATCTCCCAGCAACACGCAAAAAAATAAATTAATTAAATAAAAAAAAACAGGCTAGAGATGTGGCTCAGTGATTAAGTGCCCCTGTATTTAATCCCTGGCACAAAATAAATAAATAAAAGTTATAAAGACTATCTGCCCCAAGTCCTGGATTTCCTCACAAGTTCTGGGCTTCTCAAATAGAAAGAAACTCAGATTGCTTCAGTTTTTTTTTTTTTGTTTGTTTTGGTACTGGGGATTGAACTCAGGGGCACTTAACCACTGAGCCACATCCCCAGCCCAATTTTGTATTGTATTTAGAGACAGGGTCTCACTGAGTTGCTAAGCACTTTGCCATTGCTGATGGCTGGCTTTGAACTTGTGATCCTCCTGTCTCAGCCTCCTGGCCTCTAGAGCTGCTGAGATTACAGGTGTGTGCCCTGGCCTCCCTTCAATTTTTATTTTTTTGCCATACTGGTGATTAAGCCCAGGGTGCACTACCATTAAGCTATATCCCCAGTCTTTTTATTTGGAGACAGAGTCTAAATTACCCAGGCTGGCCTTGAATTCTACCTCAGCCTTTTGATTAGCTGGGATTGCAGGCAGCGCACCACTGCTTCTGCAAGGACTTTCTTTTCTTTTTCTTTTTTTAAGGATTTTCTTTTCTAACCTCCTTTATCCTATAGTAAGTAGGACAGATAAGAAATTTCAGTCTACTTTGGACTTAATAGCTGTAGTGGAGAGTTTATGAACAAGAAAGATTACAATGATGAGAATGACAGTGTAGAAGGGTTTGGGATGATCATATGTATATTTTATTATATTTTTATTTTTGACAATTTATTTATTTTTGTGATGCTGGGAATGAAATCCAGGTTCTTCCTATTTTTGGTACCGGAGAATGAATTCAGGGTTGCTTAATCACTGCGCCAAATCCCTAGTCCTTTTTTTAATATATTATTTAGAGACAGGGACTCACTGAGTTGCAAAGCACCCTGCCATTGATGAGGCTGGCTTTGAACTTGTGATCCTCCTGCCTCAGCCTCTGGAGAAATAACAGGCATGCCCAGCTGGAACCCAGATTCTTGTGCATGGTAGATGAACATTACCACTGATCTACATCCCCTGCCCTTATATTTTACTTTTTTTAAAAGATTTTTTTTCCATGGGGCTGGGATTGTGGCTCAGTGGTAGAGCAGTTGCCTAGCATGTGTAGGGCACTGGGTTTTATTCTCAGCACCTCATATAAATAAATGAATAAAATAAAGGTCCATCAACATCTAAAAAAATAATTTTTTTACAATACTTTTATTTTATTAATTTTTATGCGGTGCTGAGGATGGAGCCCAGTGCCTCACATGTGCTAAGCAAGCACTCTACCATTGAGCTACAGCCCTAGTCCTATTTTTCACTTTTTTGAGGTGAGGTCAGTCTTGTTATATTATCTAGACTGGTCTTGAACTCCTGGGCTCAAGCAGTGATCCTACCTCAACCTTCCCAGTATATGCTAATTTATCAGATTGCTAACTGGGAAAGTGATGACAGCTGAAGAAAGGCTTCAAAGTTAGGAAGATTTAACTTGTATATGCAATCAAATGAATGCTGAGAATCAGTTGTTAGTATTGTAATACCTGCAGACCCATTCAGGAATGTTAAGACTAGGCTTTCCTTTGAATGGTAGCAGTGTTTACTGGGAGTGGGAAGGACTGGGGTTATGGCTCAGCAGTAGTGTTTGCCTAGCTTGTGTGAAGCCATGGGTTGAATCTCCAGCACCACAAAACAAAAACAAAAAAGCAAGTATTTACTGAGTATCAACTATATGCCAGGCTTTGAGAATACAAAATGAAAATGTTATTGGTGTTTTGTATTTTATTTAGAGATAGGGTCCCACTGAGTTGCTTAGTGCCGGTTGCTGAGGCTGGCTTTGAACTCTTGATCCTCCTGTTTCAGCCTCTCAAGCCGCTGGTACAGCTGTGTGCCCAGCTCTTGTTCAGATTTTTACAGAAGAATTGAGCAAGAGAGAGCACGTTATTCATATGCTCTCATGGCCTATCAATAAGTTAACCTATGTGTAGGATATCCTTCAGTGGTCAGGGGCTGAATTCTTTTTCTGAAGGAGTGAAGGGAAAGGATTGTAAATAGGACGATGGCTATTGAATTTTTAGTCTAAATCTAGGCTTTTTTTCTCAGTACCTGGAATAAAATCAAAACTATAGTTCCCATTTCAGTCATAGACTAGCACTGAAGCATAGAAAAATTATAGGCTTTGGAAATAAATATAGATCAATCATAGTTTAAAGTGTCTAGCCTATTTTCTCCTCTGTACAAGGGGATGATCCCCCCCATCCCATTTGTTGTTGTTTGCAATGGGGATTGAATAGAAGGCTTTGTACACGCTAGGCAAGTAAGTGCTCTACTACTTAGCTATATTCCCAGTCTCATAAATCTCCTAAATCTGTAGAAAGAATTGTTAGACAATATATATGAAATGTTTAGAGTACTATTCCAGAGTTGGCTCCTTTCCCCTACACCCCCTAGCAAGTTTAGGTGTGGTCTATTGCTGAATACACCAACAGCTGTTAGTATCTTCAAAGCTTGGTTTACAAAGATGAGTAATACAGTTTCTTCTTTGCAGGAAGTTTCTTTTCTCCAGTTTCTTCCCTAGTGTTTCTTAAACTTGGTTAAGGACTAATCACTTGGGCTACTTAAAAATGTATATTCTCAAGCCCCACCCCAGTTTTTGATTGATTTATTAGGTTTGGGGTGGGAATCTAAGAAATTGAGTTTTTCCCCAGTCCTGGGGATTGAACACAGAGGAGATTTACCACTGAGCTAAATGCTCAGCCTTATTATTTTGCATAATGTCACAGGATCTGGCTAAATTGCTGAGGCTGGAATTGAACTTGTGACCTTCCTGCCTCTGTCTTCCGGGAGGGTGGGATTATAGGCTCTGTGCCTGGCTAGTTTTATCTTTTAATTTTGAGTCAGGGTCCTACTAAATTGCTCAGCTAGAGCTGGAATTTGGGATCCTCCTGCCTTGACTAGTCGCTGGGATTGCTGGTGTGCACCATTGTGCTGGATTCACTTAATCTTTTCTAGGCCCTGCCCAAAGAGGCAGAGGTCTCAGTTCCTACCTTCAAAGGGTTATAAAAAGTTTTAGAAGGAAATCCAGATTTTAAAACATAAGAACATATAATGAAGAGAACTGTAGGTAATGAAGGGACAGCATATAAGGTACAAATGGTAATGACACTGTCATTTGACAAGACTTCAAAGCTGCCTCCACTAAAACAAGCATAAAGGAGGCAAGATGGAAACCAGAGATTCAGGTGCCTCGGGCAAAATCTCCTTTAACCTCTGTGATTGCAAAAAGCAGGAACTCGGGTTCTGTTGCTTCATACTTAGGCGGTATTTGCAACAGGGGTGGGGGAGGAAGTGGCTCTGGAGATCTTGACTCCAGGAGGTTCTCCAATGCACTGTAGCCTCAAACACAAGCTCTTGAAAAGTTAAGTAGAGAGAAGTTTAGTGTTTAGCGCCTGTAGTCTGGGAGAGCTTAATAAAATGGCGTTAGTTGGAGTCTTACAATAATCTTGCATACTAGGTATTTCAGTATTAACTCAGTTTGTGAGTGCTGTCACCACATCTGATCCCGCCCGCAATCGCAGGGCTTACACCCACATTGAAAGGTATCTTCCAGCCTGTCTGCCTACCCGAGGAGGAGGTTAAGACTCGAGAGGTACTTTTTGAGAGCGGTTAAATGAATACTTAAACGAGCCCGAGCGGTGAAGCAGGACTGCGCGCGCCGAAGATCTTGGCTGACACTTGTTGAGTTGCAGAACCCTGGTGAAGGGTACCACATAATGACTGTAAAGACTTCCCTTAAGGAGAGTCAATATGGCGACGGGATCCTCTTGGCACAGCCCTGTTCCCTCCCTCATGATGGGCGTCTCTAGTAACGCCCATTAGGCCATTTGGAGGCGGTACCAGACTTACTTTGCTCCTTCATTGGGCTGAATAACTGAGGGAGAGGCCAATTCTCCTTTGCTCTTTCCAAGTTCCTACCCTCAGAGTTGATTCGGCTTTCAATTGGTTTTTAGTTTATGTCAATATGCGTCGTATTCCGTCTCTTTTCAGTGTTAATCCAATCATAACATTCCTGACTGCCCGCCTGATTTCTGATTGGTTTAGATCAGCTCCATCCTGTGCTATTGCTACCTACTTTTTACTCTCCTCCCAACCAGGACTTTGCCCAGGCACGTCCAAGATTCTGGTTGGTCGTTATTCTGTCATTTCTATCAATGCTCTCCCTATCCCTATCTCTCAGGGAGCCCGCCTGGTAATTTACTGGTTTCTTTCTAAGCCTATCATCTCTAGCTCCCACCCATCCTCACTTCCTGCCTCTTTCATTGGTTTTTCAAACTGAGGGGGCGGTTCTTTTGGGCGGACACCAGGCACGCAACTTTGTCTTACACGCCTTAGAGAAGGAACGAGTCTTACCATTGGGGAATCTGCCCGCCTTTCTTCTGCTAGTCCCTCCCTTCCCCCTCCCTCATTGGGCGGGGCAGTACCGAAGGGGCGGGGCCAAGGACGGGCTTGTGGCGCGCTACTCCCTCCTCTTTACCCCCCCCCTCCCTGTCCGGTCCAGGTTCGCTTGCCTCGTCAGCGTCCGCGTTTTTCCTGGCCCCCCCCACCCCCCCGGACAAGACCCCCTTGAGCTCGCCCCTCAGCTGCCACCATGAGCGGTAAGGATGAGTCCACTTCAAGCTTAGGGGTGGAAGGGTAGTGAGGGGGCGCGCGCGAGGGCCGACCGGGCGGTCCCCGCCGTGAGGGGGGGCGGGCGGGAGGCGGCGGCGGCGGCCTTGGTCCCGCCCGGGGCGGAGGGAAGGGAGGGAGAAGGGGCAGTGGCGGGGCCTCCGAGGAGGAGGGGGATGGGCCGCCCGCCCCGGGGGAGGGGGCAGCGTGGCCTCGCCCGCCCCCTGCCCGCCCCGGCCACGGGGGACGGGCTTTACCCCCCACTACTGGGCCGCCCGCCTGAGGCTCCTCCCGCCAGGGGCTGGCGCCGCGGGGGCGGCCCGAGCAGTGCACGCCCCGCCCGAGCCAACCGCCTCCCTGGTCCGCCCTCTGGTCGCTGCCTGCCCCAAGGCCCTCCCCCCCCCCACCCGGTAAGTTCCCCTCCCCCCTCGCAGTCCCGCCCTTTCCACGCCCCTCACCCCGAAACCGCCCTTTTTTTCTAGGGTCCGCCCTCTAGTCCTGAAACCTTCTGATTTCTAACCCTTAGACCCCTTTAGCCCATTGCTAGTATTCACAAATGTTTTCCCACTTGGAGTTTTTGCCTCCTCTTTCCCACTTTTCCTTTTTCCCCTCTTACTTTTTATACTTGTATTTTTCTTTCTCCATCTCTTTTAACTCTAATTTTAGCAAGCTTTCCATCCACCCACATATTGATTTTTGCCTTACCTATCCTCCTTTTTTCCCCAGGATACTTTTTATTATTTTGAAACTCTTACAGCATCGTCTACCACTCTTCACATTTCCTATTCCCAAAGCACTTTATGAGTATTTTCTGAGTTTAATTTTGTTCATGGGGAAATTGAGACTTGCTTTTGGCATCACTGAACCTAGTTCATGTCCTGTAGGCTCTAGGATTCCCCTTGTCCAGATCCATTTTATTTGTACTGGTGACTTTCATCTTCCTATTAGTCATTACTGATTTCATCATAGTTTAATAGGCTTTACCCTTCTTTACTTTATTCCCTCTCCCCACTTTAAGTTTTTTATCTTTTATCTTTAGATCAAGATCACTCCATGGATGAAATGACAGCAGTGGTGAAGATTGAAAAAGGAGTTGGTGGCAATAATGGGGGCAATGGAAATAGTGGTGGTGCCTTTTCTCAGACTCGAAGCAGCAGCACAGGCAGTAGCAGCAGCAGTGGAGGAGGAGGAGGAGGAGGAGGGCAGGTGAGTGATCATCAAGTGGGGAAGGTATTGAGAGGATCTAAATATTCTTAGGTATTGCTTTAATCTTCATAGAAAACATTTTAGGAAAAAAACTAATTTTATAGAAAGAAGTAAGCTTAGGGAGGAAAGTGAGTTGGAGATTCCCTAAGGATGAGAGTTTTAGAAATACCTATAGGTCAGGGTTTTTTGGATTTTTTTCTTTTTTCTTTTTTTGCATTGCTGGGATTGAATCCAGGGCCTCAGACATGCTGGGCATGCAATCTACCACTGAACTATATACCCCCATCCCCAAATATAGGCCAGTTTTTTTTTTTTTTTTTTTAATCTTGCGCTGCATTGCTGTTTATTTTTTATATATTGCCCCCTAGGCTAGCAGCTAGGTGTCACTAACTCCTTTCCTCTCCTCTATTTTCTGGCCAGGAATCCCAGCCATCCCCTTTGGCTCTGCTGGCAGCAACCTGCAGCAGAATTGAGTCACCCAATGAAAACAGCAACAACTCCCAGGGTCCAAGCCAGTCAGGGGGCACAGGTGAGCTTGACCTCACAGCCACACAACTTTCACAGGGTGCCAATGGCTGGCAGATCATCTCTTCCTCCTCTGGGGCTACTCCTACCTCAAAGGAACAGAGTGGAAACAATACCAATGGCAGCGGTGGCAGTGAGTCTTCCAAGAATCGCACGGTTTCTGGTGGGCAGTATGTTGTGGCTGCCACCTCTAACTTACAGAACCAGCAAGTTCTGACAGGACTACCTGGAGTGATGCCTAACATTCAATATCAAGTAATCCCACAGTTCCAAACCGTTGATGGGCAGCAGCTGCAATTTGCTGCAACAGGGGCACAAGTGCAGCAGGATGGTTCTGGTCAAATACAGATCATACCAGGTGCAAACCAGCAGATCATCACAAATCGAGGAAGTGGAGGCAACATCATTGCTGCTATGCCAAACTTACTCCAGCAGGCTGTACCCCTCCAAGGCCTGGCTAATAATGTGCTCTCAGGACAGACTCAATATGTGACCAATGTACCAGTGGCCTTGAATGGAAATATCACCTTGCTACCTGTCAACAGTGTTTCTGCAGCTACCTTGACTCCCAGCTCTCAGGCCGTCACGATTAGCAGCTCTGGGTCCCAGGAGAGTGGCTCACAGCCTGTCACCTCAGGGACTGCCATCAGTTCTGCCAGTTTGGTGTCATCACAAGCCAGTTCCAGCTCCTTTTTCACCAATGCCAATAGCTACTCAACAACTACTACCACCAGCAACATGGGAATTATGAACTTTACCACCAGCGGATCATCCGGGACCAATTCTCAAGGCCAGACACCCCAGAGGGTTAGTGGGCTACAGGGATCTGATGCCTTGAATATCCAACAGAACCAGACATCTGGAGGCTCACTGCAAGCAAGTCAGCAAAAAGAGGGAGAACAAAACCAGCAGACACAGCAACAACAAATTCTTATTCAGCCTCAGTTAGTTCAAGGGGGACAGGCTCTTCAGGCCCTCCAAGCAGCACCATTGTCAGGGCAGACCTTTACAACTCAAGCTATCTCCCAGGAAACCCTCCAGAACCTCCAGCTTCAGGCTGTTCCAAACTCTGGTCCCATCATCATCCGGACACCAACAGTGGGGCCCAATGGACAGGTCAGTTGGCAAACTCTTCAGCTGCAGAACCTCCAAGTTCAGAACCCACAGGCCCAGACAATCACTTTGGCCCCAATGCAGGGTGTTTCCTTGGGGCAGACCAGCAGCAGCAACACCACCCTTACACCCATTGCCTCAGCTGCCTCCATCCCTGCCGGCACTGTCACTGTGAATGCTGCTCAGCTCTCCTCCATGCCGGGCCTCCAGACCATTAACCTCAGTGCACTGGGTACTTCAGGAATTCAAGTGCACCAACTTCCAGGCCTGCCATTGGCTATAGCAAATGCCCCAGGTAAGGTTTTCAGTCTTTTGCGTTCATCTGTCTTATCTGTTTTTGTGTCACTTGTAATTGAACCCAGGGGCATTCTACCATTGAGCTGCATGCCCAGCCCTTTTTATTTTCATTTTATTTTTTCTTGTTGGTATTGGGGATTAAACCTTGGGCACTTTACCGCTGGGCTATATCCCAATGGTAAAAATATTTATTTTTTATTTTGAAACAGCGTCTGGATAACATTACTGGGGGTCTTGATGGGCTTAAGGTATGCACTGTTGTACCCAACTAAGGACCATTACAAGGGCGATAGATGATGGTGGCCTTGAAAAACCACTCTAACTTATTTATTTACTTTTGTAGTGCTAGGGGTTGAATCTAGAGCCTTGTGCAGGCTAGGCAAGCACTTTACCACTGAGCTACACCCCCAACTCTCCTTTTTATTTTTCATTTGAGACAAACTTACCAGGTTGCCCATGCTGACCTCAAACTTGTGATTCTCCTGCCTCAACCTCCTGAGTAGCTGGGATTGTAGGCATGTATCACTATGCCAGGCAATCTTTTGCACTTATTAGGAAGTAATTCTTGGCTTAACTGAAACTGTTGAGTTAAAGAAGGGAATAGAATCCGGGTGCAGTGATGCACACTTGTGATCCGAGCGGTTTGGGAGGCTGAGGCAGGAGGATAGCCAATTCAAAGCCAGTGTTAGCTTTGTGACATCCTAAGCAATTTATCAAGAACCTTATCTCCAAATACAAAGTAAACAAAAATGCTGTGTATATTGCTTAGTGGTTAAGCACCCCTGGGTTCAGTCCCTGGTACCAAAAAAAAAAAAAAGGTAGGGGGAGAATAGAACCTTTTGGGGGTAACACTTTCTCAAGGACTAATCATTTAGGCAAATGAATTAGAAAAGTAACAGTGTCTGGGCCCTGTGGTGCACTCCTGTAATCCAAGAGACTAGGGGAGACTTGAGTCAGGAGGATCAAAAGTTAGAAGCCAGCCTCAGCAATTTAGTGAGGCCTTATGCAATTTAGTGAGACTTATCTGAAAGTAAAAATAAAAAAAGGCTGGGGCCACGTGCAGTGGTGCACACCTGTGATCCCAGTGGCTTGGGAGGCTGAGGCAGGAGGTTTGAAAGTTCAAAGCCAGCCTTGGCAAAAGTGAGGCAGTAAGCAATTCAGTGAGACCCTGTCTCTAAAAAAATTCAAAATAGAGCTGGGGATGTGGCTCAGTGGTGAGTGCCTCTGAGTTAAATCCCCGGTATGAAAAAAAAAAAAAAAAAGTGGTGGGGCTGGGGATGTGGCTTAGTGGTTGAGCACCTCTGGGTTCAATCCTTGATACCAAAACAACAAAAAGAACTGTCTCTCCTCACACTAAAATATATTTTAAATAAGCTTCCTAGATTAATCTGCTAATTTCCTAGGTAGGGAATAACTTCTTAGACTGCTTTGAAAATACCATGTATGTTTGGAGAGGGAGGAGAAAGAAAAGGAGTGAGGTCAGGAATGGAGTAGGGAGGTAGGGTTGAGAGGGGTTAGGAATAACAGCATTAAAAGAAAGAGATATATATTGTAATGTATATTAAATCAGTTGACCACAATATTTAGTCTTTCTCATTTTATCTTTTGGTATTGGGGATTGAACCCAAGGCTACATTCCCAGGCCTTTTTTAAATTTTGAGATAAGGTCTCACTAAGTTGCTTAGGACCTTGCTAAATTGTTGAGGCTTACCTCTAATTTGCAATTCTTCTACTTCAGTCTCCAAGAATCATTGGGGTTACAGGTGTGTACCACTGCACCTGGCTTAATAGTTAAAAGTCTTTTCATTTTGAATTGTTGCACTGTTGGTTAGTTTGAAATTAAAAACATACACACGGGCTGGGGATGTGGCTCAAGTGGTAGCGCGCTCGCCTGGCATGCGTGCGGCCCGGGTTCGATCCTCAGCACCACATACAGACAAAGATGTTGTGTCCGCCGAAAACTAAAAAATAAATATTAAAATTCTCTCTCTCTCTCTCTTTAAAAAAAAAAAAAGATTAAAAAAAAAAAAAAAACATACACACAAAATAAGATTAAAGTCTATTGAGAATTTATCTTTTTCTTTCTTTTTTGTGGTGCTGGGGATCAAACCCAGGACCTTATTCGTACCATGCCAGCACTCTACCACTGGGCCCTGTGGTGCACTCCTGTAATCCAAGAGCCACATTTTCAGTGTCTCCCCGCCCCCCTTTTGATTTTTATTTTTGAGACAGGGTCTGGATAAGTTGCTTAGGGCCTGACTAAATTGCGGAGGCTGGCCTTGAACTTGTGATCTTCCTGCCTTAGCTTCCTGAGTCACTGGGATTATAGGCATGTACCACTGTATCCAGGTCCCTCCCCACTTTTTTTTTTTTTTTAATATATTGAGGATTAAACTCCGGGACACTGTACCTATGAGCTACCACTGAGCCCTTTTTAGTTTTTATTTTGAGACGGGAGAATTGCCTAGGCAGGCCATTTGTGATCCTGCCTCAGCCTCCCAAGTAGCTGGGAGTATAGGTATGTGCCACTGCACTGGGCTTAGACCGTATATATTTTTACTGAATCTTTTTTTAAAATATATATTTTTTAGTTGTAGTTGAACACAATACCTTTATTTTATTTATTTTTTAATTTTTATGTGGTGCTGAGGATCTAACTAACCCAGGGCCGCCTCACATGTGCTAGGTGAGTGCTCTACCGATGAGCCACAACCCCAGTCCTGACCATGTACATTTTTATATTCTCCTATGATAAATGAAAATTATTATTATTATTATTTTTTTTTTTTGAGAGAGAGAGAGAGAGAATTTTAATATTTATTTTTTAGTTTTCGGCGGACACAACATTTTTGTTTGTATGTGGTGCTGAGGATCGAACCCGGGCCGCACGCATGCCAGGCGAGCGCGCTACCGCTTGAGCCACATCCCCAGCCCCGATTTTGGAAAATAGTTTAATACCACCAAAATTCTACTTACTTTGGAATATATGTGTGCTTGTGAATTGTTTGTATTTGTTATAGTGTTCCACTTAGACTGGTTCGTTTTTTTTTCAAGGATTGGTTCTTATATAAGTCGGGTTAACAAATTAAGCAACCATGTTTCCTGTCTACTGCAGTTTTGGAAACTCTTGAGAGGAAAAGTCTGCATCATGAGTTCTCTAGCTTTTTTCAGTTCATGTGGTGTATTTAAAATGACTACATTTTGAGCTTTAATGAGACAATAAAATTTTCTTAGTGAGTTGGAGATCTTGGAGTAGAAAGTTAGAGCTGAAAGGGACCTAAGAATTCATCTATTACAACTAACTGTCTTGTCTTTTTTTTTTTTTTGGTACTGCGGATTAAAGCTGGGGCAAATAACTACTGAGGCACATCCCTAGCCCTTTTTATTTTGAGACAGGGTCTCACTGAATTGCTTAGCACCTTACTTTTGCTGAGTCTTTGCACTCAGGATCCTCCTGTCTCAGCCTCCCTAGTGGTTGGCGGACTATTCTATTCTATCCTATTTATTTATTTATTTTAAAAATATTTTTTTAGTTGTCAACAGGCCTTTATTTTATTTATTTATATGTGGTGCTGAATATCGAATCTAGTACCTCACACATGCTATGCAAGTGCTCTGCCACTGAGCTACAATCCCAGTCCCCAGGGACTTTTACTCTTTTTATTTTTTCTATTTTTTAGTTATAGGTGGACCCAATATCTTTATTTTATTTTTATGTGGTGCTGAGGATCCAACCCAGTGCCTCACACGTGCTAGGCAAGTGCTCTACCTCCAAGCCACAACCCCAGCCCCCAGGGAATGAATTTATTCTTTTAAAGTTTTTTTTTTTTAATAGTTTTAGTTGTAGATGGACATAATATCTTTATTTTATTTAGTTATTTTATTTTATTTTTTTTTAATGTGGTGCTGAGGATCGAACCTAGTGCCTTGCCTTACACTTGCCAGGCAAGTGCTTTGCCGCTGAGCTCCAGCCCCACCCCTAATGTCTGTTTCTTAATTAAAAAAAAAAAAGTCCCTGAAATCAGACTTTTCTACTCTTGCTGGACTGCTACAAAGTATCACATTTTACCCACTTCTGTGATATATTGTTATTTTACAGGGACAAATTAAATCTGTTGACAATAAAAGGCCATGAATAGCTGGGTGCACACCTGTAATCCCAGTGTCTCAGGAGGTGGAGGCAGAAGGATCTCCAATTCAAAGCTAGCTTTAGCAACAGTGAAGTGCTATGCAACTCAGAGAGACCCTGTCTCTAAATTAAATACAAAATAGGGCTGGGGATGTGGCTCAGTGGTTGAATGCCCCTGAGTTCAATCCCTGGTACCCGCCCAAAAATAAAAATAAAAAAAGGCACATGAAATATGAGATAATCACTCTACAAAATGAGGTATTATTATATGGTTGTGGAAGACTTCAGCCTATATGGGGTTCACTTAGTCTGTTTACATTTTTTTTTTTTTTTGTTAATTTTGAGGCAGGATCTAAGTTGCCCAGGTTGTTCTTGAACTTTTTGATTCTTCTGCATCAGCCTCCCATGTAGCTGGGATTATAGGCATGTGCCACTGCATGAGGATACATTTATTATGTTTAGAAATCATCTTTTAAAAACCTTTAAGCCTTCCTTTCGACTTTTATCCTGTTTTCTGTTTGTGGAATACGTGAGTAAAGGCACAAAGTTAGAACCAAAACAAATCAGCTATCTCTGTGTTCCTGTGTTTTTCATGGCTTTGTCCCTGGTGGTTGGTAGTAAGGGTAGGACCACCTAGTTAACTTAGTTTCCAGAGAGTGAAATGATCTATGGGCACTTAGTTACTTAGCATTTTGCTTTTGCTGCGGCTGGCTTTGAACTTGCTATCCTCCTGCCTCAACCTCAGAAGCCACTGAGATTACAGGTGTGTGCCACCGTATCTGGCTTTTTTTTTTTTTTTAAACACCTATTTGGGGCTGGGATGTGGCTCAGCTGTAGAGTGCTCACCTAGCACGTGGGAGGCCCTGGGT